CTCAGCTCAGTGAGAGCTCTCAGCAGGGAGCTCAGGGCTGGGGTACAGATGTGGGAGCTGGGGCCTCCTGCACCTGGCTGGGGGTGGACCTGCAGCTGTTAGTTCTGTGTTAGCCAACCGCCCTTCTCTCTGGAGGAGCCTCTGAAATGCAGAGAGCCCCATGCACCCACCCACTCCTCAGAAACCTTTATGGAGCCTTCCTGCCCCTGTGACAGCAGGAACCCCCCTCCCATGGCGTTCTCTCTGGGATCCCCATGGCCACCTCTGCCCCAGCAGGGCTGGGAACTCCCCAGGGCAGTGCTGTACATGCCAATCATGCCATCACCTCCTCTTCCTGCCCCGAAGCAGGGCTCTCGCCCACTGCAGGTACGGAATTCCCTCCCTGTGGAAGGGATGCTCCTGTCTGCCCCATGCCCTGAGAGCAGCTGCAGGCCTGGGTTCTGGAGTTCTGGTCCCAAAGCCACAGGCCCTGTCTGAGGCCAAGCCAGGGCTCTGTGCGTGGCCACAGGAGGAGCTAACAGGAAGATGGGGACCTCATGCAGCCAAACCCTGGATGCCATACTCCCCTGACAGGGCACAGCTCCTAGGCAAGGCATGAGAGTGTAGTTCCCTTTTGCCGGGGATGGCTCCTGCAGGAGAGCTCAGTGCAAAGCCAGCACCTGCAGGTGTGTTTGGAGAATTTAGCGTCAGGCTCCAGCCTCCCATGCACACTAAAGTGGCACATCAAGAAGCAGAAACTCTAGCCGCCAGGACCCAGCAGAGCAGCAGTGACTGGATGCAACACCACATGGGACAGTCGTTAATGAACCTCTGAGCCCCCCCTGAGAAGCAGCTGCCCAATAACGAGATCCCAGGAACATGCCCCTCGGCTCTGCGGGGAGGTCTGGCATGTGGCCCACTGGAATGAAAGGCAGCATGAAGGGGCCCTCTGACCTGCCTGGCTGGGGGCACAGCGCCCTGCAAACTGACAGGAGCCCTGGGGAACAGGGAAAGGATCCAGTCGGCAGCAGCCCCTGTGACAGGCCTGCTCCGGGGACCGTAATGAGACACAAGTAATTGCAACGCAAGGTCTGCGAACCAGCAGCAGCAGCCCTGATCCAGAGTACAGCGAAGCGCTGTCTCCTTGGGGCTGTTCTGCAAGCCCCCCTCACCAGTGGGGGCTGCTCCTGCCAGCCCCCACCCCCCAATCCTGGCAAGCAGTGGGAGCTGCCCTGGGTAGGAGACATCTTGCCCTGGGCACAGCCCCTCCCCACATCCCCTGTCAGGTTCCATGCCCCCAGGAGGGACAGGGACATTACAACTGGAGAGGCCGCAGCAGCTGGTCTCTTCCCTTCCTGGGGCCCTCTGCTCAGCCCTGCTAGCCAAGTCCGTAGCTGCCCTCCCGTCACCACAGGGCAGCAGGACAGGGCTGTGGTGCTAGGTGCGGGACACAGTGATGGGCCCAAGGTCACCGAGGCCTGTGGTGGGAGCAGAGAATCCGGGCTCCAGTCCCAGGCTGGCGTCTGAACTCCTGGGGAGCAAAGCCCCGGAAAGGCTGGGGGGCCAGTGACTTCCGCAGACAATTATCAGCAATTAAACCAGCTGCTGCTGTCTCCTGGGCCAGGCTCAGGGCAGGAGACGCTGGGAGACCGGCTGAGCGCTGCTCCCCCCCCCCCCCGCACACACGTGCCCGATCCGCCCAGGTGCTGGCACCAGGAACCCCTGGCTGAGGTGGTCTCTCTCCCATACAGGGCTACAGTGGCTCTCAGCCCCCTCCCACTCCGTACTCACTCTGGCAGCGCCCTGCCGGTCTCCAGAACCAGGCGCCCAGGTTAGCTCCTCACCTCTCCCCGCAGGGCCCCGGTCCCGTCTGTCTCTCCAGCCCGGACCGCAGGCGCGCATGGGAACCCGAGCCCAGCGGACCGCGCTCTGCGCCCCTGGGCAGGGGACTTGCCGGACAGGGGAGGCGGGAGCGCCGCAGGGAGGGGGCCGCGGGCAGCTCCCCGCCGGTGTGCTCAGCAGCTGCTCACAGCGGGGCCGGGGAGCCAAGGGGGCCGGGAAGAAGCCGAGGGCCCCCCGCCCAGCTGGCACTGAAGGGCGAGGCGCGCCGGCCCCGAGGCAGGCTCGCAGCGCGCACCCCGCGCTCCCGGGGCGGAACGCCGCGGGGTGCCGGGAGCGCACCCTGGGGGGGGGGGTTCAGGGTCACTGCTTCTGGGGAAGCTCACGGCAGCGCCGGCCCGCAGCTGCCTCAATGCCCGGAGGCGCGGGAGCCCGGGAGGAGGCTGATGGAGCGCCGATAAATGCGGGTCCCCGGCGGGGAACCGGGGCTGGCAGGGTGGGGGTGCCCGAGCCGACGGCGGGGTCCCGGCGCCCGTTACCTTCGCAGACCCGCCAGAGCCCAGAGTGGGAGCTGAGCGGCTCCGGGTCCCGCGCCGGTTCCACCCGCACCAGGTACCAATAGTCCGACCCGATGGCCGCGGCCAGGAGCCCGAAGCTGAGGGTGCCGCTGAGCGCAGCGCCCAGACACAGGGCGCCCGCGGGCAGCGCGCCTCGCCCCAGCCCCATCCCCGCCCGACCAGCCGCGCCGCTCCTCACCCGGCCCCCGGCCGCAGCGCCCGGGCGCTCTGGGGAGCAGGGGTCCGTGCGCCCCCTCCGGCGTCCGGGAGCCTGACAGCCCGGCGGGGGCGCTGCGCTGGGGCCGGGCCGTGCAGACCGGCGGGCGCGGACCCTGGGCGCAGGGGGCCCAGCACTTCGCACCCCCGAAGCCGATGCCCGCTCGGAGGCTGTTAACCCCCGCGGGAAAGGGCCCCGCGGCTCGGCTCCGCGGGCTGCGACCCCCTCGGCCCCGGTTCACGGGCCCCCGCGCAAGGTGCACGTGCTGTGGACACGGGAGCCTCCGGGGTCCGGCCAGGCGCCCCCCGCCGTACGGCACAGAGCGCCCTGCAGCGGCTGGCACTGGACTGCGGGGCCCAGCGTGTGCCCATCCCTCCGCATCGGGCCTGGGCTGCTCTCCCCGGCCGTGAGCTGGCCGCGAACCCGCAGCTGCCGTTCACCGGCGGGGCCGGACCTGGAGGCGCGGGAGAGACGCAGAAAGTGGCCTTGGCGCCCCTCTCCCCAGGGGCCGGAGCTCTGCAGCGCCCGGCAGCCTCTGGCAGCTCGGCGAGGCAGAGCAGAGCCCGAGGAGCCGCTTCCCTTGCCAGGGCCTGGGGCTGGGGGTACAGAGAACAGGACCCCTCAGCTGGGTCCATTTTGGGGGGCAGGGAGCCAGACAACCACGTCTGCACTTCACTCCATGTCCCAGCCAGCCCCAAACTGAAACTCCCTCCAGCCCCTCCTCCTCTGGGCTTTGTTCCTTTCCCGGGCCAGGAGGGCACCTGATTCCTTTGTTCTCCAACCCTTTAGCTCTCACCTCGCAGGGGGGAAGGGCCCAGGCCATCAGTTGCCAGGAAACAGGGTGTCGGCCATTCTCTGTGTCCAGACCCCTGCCCACACCTGCCCTCCAGGGCTCTGCAATGATCATACACCCTTACCCCACCCCCTAGATACTTAAGAACTGCCTAGGGGAAACTGAGGCACCCCCACACTATTCAGAGGAAACATTAAGAACAGTCCCACTTCGTCACAGGGTCCCCACAGGTGGGTAGGATCTCACACAGGGGGTGGGCCCAGTCTCTCCTGCCCCATGACCAGAACTGAGGGGGGGTGGGGGGGTCGAAGGGGGCAGGCAAAACCGCAGGCAGTGCTCTCAGGCCCAGTGCAGTCATGGCAGCAGGAGGGACGGGGCACTTCGGGGGGTTGCTGGGAGCAGCTGTGCACGGTAGCCTGGGCGATGTTGTCCTCTGGTCTTTGGCAAGGCCACATTAGCTCCTCCCCATTGGGGCTGTTCCAGGGGATAGAGCCTTGTGCGTGAACAATACATTATAGAGAAACTAGCCATGGGCTGGTGGGGGCAGGCACTGAGGGGTGTTGGACCCACAGGGGTGGACAGTCAAGGGGTCAGTGTTGAGGGTGCGTTGGGGCAAAGGGGGCATTTACCCACGGAGGAGATGGGTTGACACATTCTGGCCGGGGCACTACTAATTCCAGGGGGAGCGATGGATGTAGCCAGTGCGGACGTGGGCGGTGGTACAAGGCACTGTGGGGACAGCAGAGTCGGGAGGACAAAGTTCACTCTGCCCAGGGACAGGGCCCTAGCCACACAAACCCCCTGCTCCTGCCAGGGCCCCCTGTCATCAGGTAATCAAACAGTCCTCATGGTGAAACTGCCAGTGACTGTCAGGAAAGTGGTGCCATTAGGCTCCCCAGCCAGCAGGAGAAGCACTGCACTCAGCTGGAGCCCCACGCAGGTGTGGGTAAACCAAACCAAACAGCCAGCTGCGGGACTGCGGGGTACCACTACCCCCACGCGGACCGGAGCAGGCTCTAGTATACTGTGAATGACATGCACCGAGGCTTCACTCAGCTCACCTGAGAAGAGAGGGGGCAAAGGTAACATTATTCACCTTTCCACCAGGAAGCAACAGTAGCTGGTTTTGTCCCTGGAGCAAGTTAGAACAGCCCCAGGGTTGCCTATGCCAGATGAAATCATCCCCTCTGGCCCGATCACTGGAGCACAGCACGTTTCAGCCCCACCCCTCCCATATCCTATGCAATGCAGGGGGAGGGGGGCGCGGGGCGAGAAGCAGGTGGCGGCTATACCAACCTTGCCATAAGCTCAGGAAATCCCCAGTGGCCACTTCAGTGCAGCTTTAAGTCCCCTTTGCTCTGCTGCAGCAGCACAGAGGGCCTTGACCTGGTGCTCTGCAGGCAGTTACCTAAGGGCTAGGCCTCATGCAGAGTACTGGATAAGGGTTCTACTACTGCTGCCAGCTGTGGAAATCTCTTTTAGCTCAGCTGCTAGAGCTCTGTGGTTTTGGAGGAGACGGCGCAGTTGATTTATACAGTAATAGTGTCTTGCCTGAACTCATGGATTTATTACAAGGCCATTTCCCCAGGAGAGAGGTTTATACGAAAGCAGCAGCTGTTATTTATGTTCAGATTTTATTTAATATTCACAAGAACCAGTTCCAGGGAAATTGTGAGGGGGCAAATGCACAGTGGAGCCAGACAGCCGGGGAGAGCCCCACTGGACTGTCTGGCCAGTATGCTGCAGCCAGGTGTCAGCCCGTGTGACAAGGGTGATGTGCCCAGCAAACCTGGCACAAGAACCACTGGCCCCATTGAGAATATTCTAATAGGCCCCACTAGAGTTGGCCCTTCTCCTTTCCAGCCAGCACCAGGGATTGCACAGAACTGGAAGTGGAGAGTCAGGGAGGGGCAGAAAAGGCAAATGTCTGTCCCAAGCAGCCGGGGCACTTTTGACAGGGCTGCACAAGGGACATGCTAGTCTTGCCCCAGGAACAGGAAGTGTCAGACGGGACCAGGCAGCGACTGATCGTCAGTGGGACTGTGGGTTGCAGCCTCCATTTTGCCACCATCACTTTCAAATCATGCTCTTGAAATCATGTTCAAAATCACCTGAAATGTTAAGGAACAAGAATCCCGTAAACAAGAGGCGGCTGGGCCTTGCTCGCTGCAGCACGGTGTCTGTGAGCAGGAGAGACGAGTCGCCCAGTCCCCCCCACACTGATCCACCCCTTGCTCTTTGTCACGCACTGGCCAGCCTTGCTAATGAGCAGAGCCCTGCCCCGGCACCAGGCTCTGCACTCGCCCACACCTGACACAGCTGAGGCACAGACCAGCATCAGAACCGCCAGGTGGCAATAGGTCTAGGAGGCAGCCTCCCCATCGCCAAGCTGATCTTGGCTGGTAGTCTCCAACCCCGAGCCAAGCCCACAAGAGCTCTGGTGGCCCTAGTGCCCACAGGGAGCCCACCTACCTCCTTACCTGAGTCAGGATATAGCCCCCCTGGTATAACTTCTCAATGACGTCAAAGTGATCTGTGTCAGCAATGTCCAGCAGAGAGACTCTCCAGCCAGCTGAGCGCAAGGCCTGGAGAGAAGAGACAGCTGAGAGAAAGACCAGGCACTTCAGGGAGGAGGTGGCTGCTCCTCCACACAGGAGCCAGGCACCAGGGTGAGGGAGATGGGAGGAAGCAGCAGCCCTGCCCCAAGAGCTCCCAACTGGAGCAAATGCCACCCAGCAGGGAGTGGGGCATCCTCTCCCTGAACAAACAGGCCCATCAGAGAAACTAGCCCCCCACCCAACACCAACCCCCGGGGAGTTCTCCTCTCTGCTGGATCCCTCACTGCAGTGGGAGAGGCAGTCTCCTGTTATATGGCTCTATGAGCCACACTGAGTCATCGCTTGGATGGGAGGCTGAAGGGGGCCAGGCAGCACTAGGCAATGGGTCTCCCTGCTGCATGAGAGTCATTCTAGGCCGTTCTCCAAGAGGCAGACGACAGAACAGAGCATCCCACCACCCTCCCGGACCAGGTTCCTCGCTGCCTGCTCCAGCTCTTGCAGGCTCCCATCCAAACACTGGCCCCACCAGAACCTGCTTAGCTTACAAGCTGGAAGGAAAGCCAGGCCTGAAGTGGGACAGCCTGCAAAGTGCACCTCTTTCAGGCAGTCACCCCCACTAAAGGAAGGGGTGGAAAAGCAAATGCCCTTGGGGGCCAGCCCAGCTCTCTGAGCTGAACAAATCCCCTCTCTGCTCTGGCTGCCCCTGGGTAGCTCCGCCTAGGCTACCACCAGCCCAGGCTAGAGGCCTTCTCCCTGTATCTGGGAATCCCTGACTTAAGCCTGCCGCCAGTTAGTGGTTACCTCAAGGGCTCCCGCTCAGGCAGGGCCAGGCCAGCTAGTGACTACTTGTGTTCAAAGTAGTTTGCCAAAACCACCTTGCCCTAGCCAGCCAGGGTTTCTCCACCCCATCGCACAGACCTTGGGGGAAAATCTAGGGGTGCAGAAAGTGACCAGTCAGGGCAGAGCCAAAGCCCCAGCTCCTTAGGGATGGGAGGCCCCAGAGAGGTTTCCAGCTGGGCGCCATGTGGCAAGGGTGCAATGAGAAACAAGGTGGATGAGGTAATATCTTCTATGGGACCACCTTCTGCTGGGGAGAGAGACGCGCCTGAGCTACACAGAGCTCTTCTTCAGGGCTGGTCTCGTGGACCAACAGAAGTTGGTCCCATAAAAGATATTATCTCAGACCATGTGTCTCTAATATCCTGGGACACCTGCAAGCGAGGGTGGAAAGAGTCTACTGAACTGGGCTGGGGTCCTGCCGCTGACTTCCCCTCGCACGCCCGAGGATGCACACACGCGAGCGTGAAACGTAAAGATGGTGGGGCTGCTGGGAGCAGAACCTGGAAATACTCTTGGGATTGTCTGTGGAATTCTGGCGAGTCGTGTTGGGCCACAGCGATCAGCACCTCACAGGCCTTCCTGGCAGGCTTTGCTGCTGTCACACACAGGATGGGGCTGTTCCTCCGGGCGACCTCCCTGGGTACAGACATAGTGTCACTGCAGAGCAGTCAGACCCACAGGGGAGGAGCAGGGCTGGGGGGCAGCAAGCACAGCCTGTCAGCCCGCTATGGTGGGGAGGGACTTTCCTCTGGGCACAGGGGAAGCCAGTCTTCATGTTCACACTGCACAGCACATACCGGTACTGCCTGCGTGTGCCTGGGAAGGGGCTGAGTATGCACACGCAGGAGGTGTGGGCAGGAGCAGGGTACGCCCAGCCTGTGCTTACCCCTTGGTGCGCATGTACCCAGGTTTGTGTCCACGGAGTGCAGGGTACTGCCCCAGTAGTAGAAGGGGACGGGCGCACGTGGCTTGGAGCAGGGGAATGCATGAGTGCTGCATAGGTATGGGGCACACCCATGGGCAGGGGGTACAGGAACAAGGGGCATGCAGGCAGGGGCAAGCTGCCCGAGTGTTCCTGATTGTGAGTTCCGTGGCTGTCTCTGTGGAGGGCATGCTAGCTCTGGACCCCAGGGCGCTCACCGGCTCATCTGGAGCAGGTTGTTCACGGAGGTGTGCGTGATGGGTTCAAGGTCATAGACTCCACTCACCAGAAAAGCTCCTGGAAAATAAAAACACCCTAATCTGTGTGAGGCCTGCCTCACTCCCCAGGACAGGGGGAATTTCCTCTCTGGCCTGTACCTCACCACGGTTTTCCAGGTCACTGCTCAGGGCAGGGTGAGACACCTACCCCTGAAGGCCATGGCAGGGCCGCGCCAGTAAGCATGCTCTGGAGGGCACTGCACACTCAGACCTGGAGGGAGAGATGGCACCTGGGACGGGAGCTTGGAGACAGAGACACACTGTGGTTCCCTCGTGCTCCCACTGTCTGTTTGTTGTATCCCCATTTGGTCTCCAGTTTCACACATAAACAGAAAGATTCTTGGGGCGGAGACAACCGATTACATGTTCGTAAACTGCCTGACAATATGGGGCCCTGGCCGCTCGGTGCTACCACACTACAGACCTGGGCAAAAGAGGCTGCTAGGCAGAGTCCATACGGAACACGGATACGCTCTGCTCTCTTCACTCCTCAGCAGAACAGAGCCACGTGGCTGGAGTGGAAAGGGGTGTAATGCATCATGGCTCAATGAGCCCATCCAATGAGCAAACCCTGCTTTATGGGGCATGGAGCACAGGGGAGGGGTGGGGAGGGTCCCTAGGGAAACCTGGCACTACCTTTTATGTCTGGTGTCACTCCGTACTCCTCCCAGTCAGTTGAGAGCACCATGGCTGCCAGGTGAGCCCCTGCTGAGTGTCCACACAGGTAAACTCCGCTAGACAGGGTGAGGGTAGACAGAAGGAGCTGTGAGCGGGGAGATAGGGGGACTGGGGTCTGCGCATCCAGCTGTGGGGCTCCCCTTTGGAATGGAGGAGCCTGCGTAGCCTGACAGAGTCAGAGTACGAACGTGGCAGCATTCCGAGCAGTGGGGTCAGAAAAGCCGGATTAGTTCTCATCTGCTCCCGTCCCCCACCCCATCGAGAGGAGAGTACAGTCGTGCATGTCTCCAGAGTCCTACTCCTCAGGGTCCATCCACATGTACTCACTACCACAGTTCCCTAATGCTGTGCGAAACGCCTTCAGCATGATCTGCCTTGACGTGGCCTCCTCCTGCCGTGGGCCCTGCAGGTTGGCAGGGACAGCGGAACGAGTGCCCAGGAGCCATACGCTGCCCTACCTGATCTTTGAATACTGCTGCACAATGAAGGCCACACTGTGCCGAACCTGCGCCACCATCAGATCCAGGTGGCCTAGGCAGAGAGCACAAAGTGAGGAGGGGCCACAGGGCCGAGGAGAGGAGATGCTGTTCCCACTTCCGGCACCCCTTACCTTTTGGAGCCAGATCATATCCGACCGCCACCACCGCAATGCCCTGTGTCACCAGAGGAGGCGTTATAAAGCCCGACACCTCCTTACTGGGGAAGAGAAACCCTGGTGAGTCACATGCTCAACTGCATGGGATGTAGCCAAGCAGCTCCCCTGTGCCCGAAGCACCTCCCGAGACAGGGCCAGCCACAGAGATGTTCCAAGGGGGGCAGATTATCTGCCTGTTGGACCTGCAGCACCCAGGACAGGCCTAGCTCGAACTCTTTTTACTCCTGAGGAGGAAGTTCTGGGGCTAGGGCTGAGCCACTCACACAGGTTCCCCCGCCCACAAATAACTCCCTGAAAAGGACTTGCCTCACCTTAAAAACTGCCAGTATCCACCGTGGATATACAGGACGAGTGGGAAGGCTGCAAGGAACAACAAAGGGTAACCTGGCAGGCAAGCCATGCTGCATGTTCCCTCCACTTCCCCCCTCCCTGTTCTCCCAGCTCCTCTTGCTTTCATCCCGCTCACCCGCCTCTCCCCATTTACCTTCAGAGGGATCTGTGGGTAAGTAAATGTCCAGTTTCTCCCCATCACTACCCCCGTAAGGGACATGTAGCACGGTCTGCATGGTGGCCTGGGCCCTCCTGGTGCCTGTGAGCAGAACGAAGGACAAACTAAATACACTGGCTGCTCCATGGTGCAGCAGGCAAGCAGCCCCCTCACCCCTCCCTGGCTCCCAGACTCTCTGTCTCTCAGCTCTGATCCGGGAGCCTGTCTGTTTCTGCAGCTCTCCGGCACCGCATCCCGCTTTGCCAAGCCACCACCCTGCAGTCCAAACCCTCTTAAATCCCCACCTGCTTCTGTGGGGCCCACAAGGGGGTTGGTAATTTACAAACAAAGGCCCCCAAGTCACCCTGTTTGGGTGGCCTAGTGGGTCCTGCCATGGGGGTCTCTTTCTCATCTCTGCCAGCTCTTTGGGGTTGGGGCTCTCTTTGGATTTGTGTCTCACAGAATCCAAGCACGAGCATCATCAAACAAATAGAACAGAGCAGGCAGAGCAAGTGGGCCCAGCACAGGAGCCAGTCTGGGGCTGGAAGCTCACCTAGTAACCTGCCAGTGCCCCCCAGCTCTCAGCAGCCCTATACGCTACTCTGCACCTGAGATGCTCTCTCTGCACAATATGTGTCACATCTGCATCCATTTCTCCACCCTTTGCTCTGTGGGAAGCTTGTTCCCTGGCAAAACCGTCTGCCTGCTGGCCCTTTACCTTCAGTCACCTCCCTGACATGGGCCTCTATCACAGCCTCCTTGTCCATGCGGTGAGACCACCGGCTGGGGGCATACTGCTTCTCTAGCTCCTGCAGGGAACACGCCACAAATCCAGACATGCACAATGGGGCCAACACAGCTAGATTTTTATCTTCTTGCCTGCAAATGAGTTTCTGGTCCGACAAAGCTGCTGTTTCTGGGACTGGAGAGAAGGGCAGAGCAGGAGCCACCCAGAGAGAAGGCAAACAGAATGTGGAATTGGCTCCCAGCATTAAAAATCTCTAGCTATTGTTGTTGTGTGAGGTGAGTCTGTAAACTAGCGTTCAGGCTAGAATAGCAGGGGACTGTGGGTCAGGATTGAGGGGCTGTGACAAAGCGGGACTGTTCTTAATGTTTCCTCTGAATACTGTAGGGGTGCCTCAGTTTCCCCTATGCATTTCTTAAGTCTCTAGGTGGTGGGATAAGGGGGTGTAATTGTTGCAGAGCAAAGGGGCCAGTGTACATAAATGGCCGACACTCTATCTCCTGTCAACTGATGGCCTGGGCCCTTCCCCCCTGCAAGGTGAGAGCTAAAGGGTTGGAGAACAAAGGAATCAGGTGACCTCCTGGCCCCGGAAAGGGACAAAGCCCAGAGGAGGAGGGGCTGGAGGGTGAGTCAGTTTGGGGCTGGCTGGGGACGTGGAGTGAAGTGCAGATGGGGTTGTCTGGCTCACTGCCCCCGCAAATGGACCCGGCTGAGGGGTCCTGTTCTCTGCACCTACAAGCTCTGTGTTAGACCATGTTCCTGTCGTCTAATAAACCTTCTTTTTACTGGCTGGCTGAGAGTCACGTCTGTCTGCGAAGTTGGGGGGCAGGACCCTCTGGCTTCCCCAGGACCCCGCCTGGGTGGACTCGCTGTGGGAAGCGCACGGAGGGGCAGAGGATGCTGAATGCTCTGAGGTCAGACCCAGGAAGGGGGGGAAGTTGTGTGAGCTTCTTGCCTTGCAGACAGGCTGCTCCCAGAGAGGAGGCTCCCCCAGAGTCCTGACTAGGTTCGTAGGGAGCAGTTCCAGAGCATCGCCCGGGGACCCCGTGATAAGGGCATTGGTAGAACTCTATGTGTGGGGAGAGCCAGGGCTGGAATGGCAGGGGGACGGGGGGGGGGGGGATTGAGAGACATCAGAAGTGGTGAGAGAGAGGGAGCCTAGGGCTGGAATAACAGGAACCAGGGAGCTGCAGGCTGGGACCGAGGGGAATTGGCAGAGCTGGGAGGAGAAGGTTATGCACACCAGTGGGGTCAGCCCCCAAGATAATGGAGCTGTTCCCAAATGAGGCTCCCTGGACTTTGATCTCCATGTCCTGAGAGTAGAGGGACAAGAAGTCACAAAGACAAAGTCGCTCTTAATTACCCCTCCTCCTCCAGGATCCTCTAGTCTGCAGCCTCCCCCCAGTCCTCCCCTTACCTCCCTTGTCATTTCTTGCCATTTCCCCATGGCCAGGCTCGGGCTGCGACTCGCACAGGGGGGTGTCTCTCTGCAGGGGACCAGCGCAAATCAAGGCGTGTCGGGGGCTGGCCTGGTCCCCATTGGCTGCTCAGAGGGCGGAGGGATTGTGGGACTGCCCCAAGCCGGCCAGCGAAGTGCCAGGCTCAGGAAGGTGCTGGGGGACTCACCGAAACAGCAGTTCCGCGGGCGCCTGCCCTGCCCCCTTCTTCCCCCGAGCTCCCGGTCCCCCGGGAGAGCGGAGCGGCCGGGGCAGGAAGAAACTTCCCCGTGGGCAGGTTATTACATCGTTGTCCCCGGTGGCCCCCGTATTTGGCCCCCGGCTGCTCTCGGACACAGGAGACTGGCCCAGCCCTGACCCCCTTGGGCAGCTCCCCTGCGGCCCAGTGTAGACAAGCTGGCGGGACCCCCTGCCCCAGAGAGGCTAAGTGCCAAATCACAAAGACCTCGTTCCTTCTACTTGGTTTGTATCAACCCCGCCCCCCAGCCCGATCCCTGCCCCCCTCCCTCGCCCCCCAGCCCGATCCCTGCCCCGCTCCCTCGCCCCCCAGCCCGATCCCTGCCCCCCTCCCTCGCCCCCCAGCCCGATCCCTGCACCCCGCCCTCGCCCCCCAGCCCGATCCCTGCACCCCGCCCCTCCTGTGCCTTGCGGTGACTTGGTGCCGGTCACACCCAGGCACAGGGACCTCGGCTCTTTCCCATCCACCCCCGGGTACAGGTACATCGAGTCTGGTTGCGAGGCTCCGCTAGGAACAGAGCATCTCAGGACCAGGGATCGTGGGGTGGCGGGACTTTGGGGTGTCCGGGGCTGGGATCCTGGGGGGGGGTAGTGGAGGGGGGTACCAATCTCTTTCCCATCATGCACCGGGACAAGCTCTTCCTCGGAGGAACCGGGGGGGCGAGGCTGGAATCCTGGGGGGAACCGGGGGGATTCTGGGGGGGTCCGGGGCTGGGATACTGCGGGGATTCTGGGGGGGGTTCGGGGCTGGGATCCTGGGGGGAACCGGGGGATTCTGGGGGGCTCCGGGGCTGGGATACTGCGGGGATTCTGGGGGGGGGTTCGGGGCTGGGATCCTGGGGGGAACCGGGAGGGCGAGGCTGGGATCCTGGGGGGAACCGGGGGATTCTGGGGGGAACCGGGGCTGGGATCCTGGGGGGACAGGGGGATTCTGGGGGGTCCCGGGCTGGGATCCTGGGGGGATTCTGGGGGGGTCTGGTGCTGGGATCCTGGGGGGAACCGGGGGATTCTGGGAGATCCCGGGCTGGGATCCTGGGGGGTCCCGGGCTGGGATCCTGGGGGGAACCGGGGGATTCTGGGGGGCTCCGGGGCTGGGATCCTGGGAGGGGATAGTGGGGGGGGGTGCCAATCTCTTTCCCATCATGCACCGGGACAAGCTCTTCCTGTAACCCACCTCCGCGCCTGGGTGCTTGGGTGAAATTTCCCGCCCTGACCCTCATTGGCCGCCGAGGGGAGCGGGAGGGGCGGGGCCTCTCCTGATTGGTCAGTGCGGGCGGCGTTTAAGGGAGCTGAGCGCGCGAGCCGGGTCATTCGCGGGGGGCCGGCGGGATGAGCTGCCTCAACGTGCCCGGGGTGCAGCCCGGCTCGCCCGCCAAGGCGCGCGGCCAGATCCAGGTGGGGGCGCGGGGGCGCGGGGGCGCGCGCGGGGGGGCCGGCCGGCCGGGTCTCACCCGTGTTTCCTGTCTCTGCAGGTGATTTTCGGGCCCATGTTCTCCGGGAAAAGGTACCGGGGCCGTGGGGCGCCCGCCGGGTTTTGGGGGGGTCTGGGGGTCCTCTCACTCTGGGGGGCCCATGCGGCCGGAGCCGTCCCCGGCGGGTGGGGGAGCTGCTCCGGGCCCTGGCTGCTGCCCCAGCCCCGCTCCCTCGGGGCGCAGCCGGGGCGGGGGTGGGGGGTCCCCCCCCGTGCAGCCGGGCCCTGGGGCGGGGGTGGGGGGTCCCCCCCCCGTGCAGCCGGGGCGGGGGTGGGGGGTCCCCCCCCCCCGTGCAGCCGGGCCCTGGGGCGGGCTGAGACCTGCACCGCTGTTACCCAGATAGGCTGGCGGCGGGGCCCAAGGGCTCTCCTGGGGAGGCCAGGGTTGTCTCCTTGGCTCCCAGCATGGGTTTGGGGGGCTAGACGTCGCTGTCTTGCGCTGATGCGCTGCCACTAATGGACTGTGGGACGATCCTGGGGGTAGTGTCCATTCCCACACACGTGCTAGCCCTCTGCATGCTGTGATTAATTGTGACGATCTTGTAGCACGGAACTCATGCGCCGGGTCCGCAGATTCCAGATTGCACAGTACAAATGCCTTGTGATAAAGTACGCCAAGGACACTCGTTACTGCACGAATGGGGTCTCCACGCATGACAGGTGAGCTGCTGTCATGGATATCACCCCATTTGCAGGGAGGATCCTCATCTGACTGCTGCTGCTTGACTTTGTTTGCTTCCAATAAGGGAAACGATAGAGAACTCAGTGTACAAGCTTGAAGTTGTCTCCATTGTTCTGTACAGTCCATTGGCCTTGCCTTCAGTGGTGTGTCTAGGCATGACTCTGCAGCCCTATGCCCCTGGCTAGAATGCTGCTTTCAGCTGGCTGTTGTCTGGCTGGGCTATGGGGGGTGGTTTTTTACAGCTGGCTGGTTGGCAACTGCGCTGTATATAAGTGGCACAGCTTTTAGCCCAGGAATGATGATCTGTCTCAAAACAGCTGTTCTCTGTGTTTGAGCCCTTGTTTTTAATAGCGCCCTCCTATAGGGTTGACCAATCACTCACCCGTGTGCTGATGCTTCCTTGCAGGAATACCATGGAGGCTCTTTCGGCCTGTTATCTCAAAGATGTGCACCAGGAGGCGCTTGGTTCAGCTGTGATTGGTATTGATGAAGGCCAGTTTGTAAGTTCTCCATGTCTGCTGTTGTCTCCTGTCCAATAACCAGCAAATTTGCCTTGAAGGGACCCCATGCTATGTAGGATGGGAAGTGCAGAGAGAAATCTTAGACCTGCCATGTTAATTGGCAAAATGGTCTTGTGCAGAGTTCTTGTCCAGCCACATTTGTGTGGTCTAGTGCCATCCCTCCTCATAGCCTTGGTACAGGTATGGTAGGCAGCTAAACCTACCATGTTTAGTCTGAACTGTGAAGACTCTCCTTGCCCCCTTTGCTCAGGTAATGTTGCTGTAGCTTCCTAGCTGGTGCCCTGTCCTGCTGTTGTGGGGACACTTCTGAATTCAAAGTTATCTGCAGCACTTGAAGCTGCTCATACTCCTTCCTCTGCGCACTCCTTGCTGAAGCTGTCCTCTTTATGCCCTGTCTAGTTCCCAGACATTGTGGAGTTCTGTGAGGCGATGGCCAATGCAGGGAAGACCGTCATAGTCGCTGCCCTTGATGGGACCTTCCAGAGGAAGGTAATTTCTTTCAGCAGTGGGTAACTGGATCCTTCTGAGTTCTTATCCCTGTACCAAATAGCCTGTCTTTTTGCTGCAGGCATTTGGGAGCATCCTGAACCTGGTTCCCTTGGCAGAGAGCGTAGTGAAGCTGAATGCTGTGTGCATGGAGTGTTACCGGGAGGCTTCATACACGAAGAGGCTGGGAGCTGAGAGGGAGGTAAGATTCTAGGGAACAAAGACCACTCAAACAGGGCCTTGAAGGCACCTGTGAGGTGAAATGACCTGCCTATGGTGTGCTTATACAGGAGGAAAGAGCATCCCTTTCTAACCTACACTCTCTTGCCAGGTTGAAGTCATTGGAGGGTCAGACAAGTATCACTCCGTCTGCCGTGTCTGCTACTTCAGGAAGCGACCTCAGCAGGCTGGGCCAGAAAACAAGGAGAACCTGCCTGTGGGGGCCAAACAGGCGGATGTCATAGGCTCCCGAAAGGTCCTGGCTTCCCGACAGATGCAGTGGAGCCCAGCAAACTGAGCAGGGGAGGCTAGAGACTACAACTTTGGGGCTTCTTTAAAGCTCTTTCCCCTCTGCTCAGCCCGGAGCTGTGTCATGGCCTCCCAATGCTACCTGCCAAACCTAACTGCTGCTTGTGTGTGCTGAGCTACAAAGAACCAGGCCCACGTAGAAGGGACAAAAGGGGAAAACAATGACAAACAGGAGTCGGGCAAGCAGCCACTGGGAAAGTCCTCTCCCATGGAATGTGAGCAAGAAATTGGAGGCACTTACTGAGACAGTCACACTGCAACAGGCCCTTGTCCCTCAGTGTGGGACATCCAATACACCATCTGTCCAGGCTTCTGAGTAATGACTATCCTCCCAGCTCATGGGAACCCCTTTTTAGCACGTTTGACCTCCCTCCCTGACACTGTTGCTGGCTTTTGCTTGTGTTCTTAAGGACTTTGCCTGTTCCTAACTAGCTCATGGGTCTGACTTGCTGCCTGGGGATGCCCTGTCCCTAGGTGACACTGGGACAGGAGGACCTCCATTGTTTTAGCCCCTTCATTATATTGCCTCTTACTCCATTCTAAGGTAAATGACCTCAGACCTCCCATCCTTACTAATGTCTTCTCCTGCTATCACTACACCCCAGCCATTATCTTCCCTCTTAAGATCAATTTCCTCTAACAATGCTTATGTGCAGCTGCCTCCACCCCCTCTCTGGCAGGCAGCTGTAATTAGTTCTCCCCTCCCCCACTGCACTTCAGTGTCTGTCCAATTCAAGATGGTTTCTCCAATTATACTTGTTAAAAGACTACACTGAGTTGCTCTAAATCAGGGCTGTTTAAAAACCCTTGGAATGACTGTTCTCTTCCTCTCCTGTTCCCAGCAGTGGAGGTGGCCTTGATGTGTTGATTTTTAGGTTTTGGTTTTTAGGTTCAGCTGTACTAACTCAAGGAGTGAGGCTTTGCTCCTCCTTGTGTTCACTCCCATTAGGGTGGAGAATGGACACCGAGGCTGGTGGGTGCCTAAGCTCTTAACACAGACTAACTGAAAACAATGCTCTTCTGAGGTGAGGTGGAGATGGGGCTGATGTTAAAGGGCACCCTCTGCTTCAGTGGAGCCTAGTTCTGCTAATACCACTGTGTACAGCTGCTTGCTTGCCCAAGAAGGGTTTGCAGACATTTGGTCTAAACGCCTTGTGTCTTGATCAAAAAGATGTGCTCAGTCTCTCTAGTAGATGGACTAATGATTAGTGCAGGCAGGGGCTTTGAATAGTGTTGCTGGTGAGTGCCCCACCCCTTATTGTATAGTAAATCTGAAACCTACTTCTGCTGAGCGCTATTTTTAATCTCCCAGAGGGATGGGTCTGTGCTGTCCCAAGAAATAGATGTTTAAGTGAGGGTTTCTAGAAGGTAACAGACTGTCTCCACTTTGGAACCGCAGTGCCCTGCTGCTTGACATAAGTTTCTTCCTCTGTCCTTAGCAAATCTTTTCTTTCCCTTTCTCTAGAGGGCTTGGGGTCATGCCCAGCTGCTTCCTCACTACCCTTACAGCTTGTTGGCTGAAGCATTTTGATAATTGCTAGGCCCTCACAGCCCTTCCCTTCCTTGGAGAATGAGCCAGCTGCTCTAACCTGCCTTTCCTGCAGCCCAGGCTTGCTGTTTTGTGACACAAGGCCCTCTGTTAACCTCTGGTCTGGCACCAGGAAGTTCTCCTCAGCCCCTTTTACCCTCACCTGTTAGAGTAGCTGCATTTACCCAACCCCAAGATGGTCAAGCTGCTTCCAGGCTCTTTACTCAGCTCACCTGCCAGGTGTAGTAGGGCTCCTGCTAATTTTAAATACTTCTATTGCTCCTTGGGGGGGGGGGAGGCTCTACGTGCTGTGTCTAGAACCAAGCAGGAATTCTTCAGAGCTGCTTACTAAAAGGGGGAGGTTTAATGTTAAGGCTGCAGCATTAGCCTTGGTGGGGGGGTCTCATCCCTTGGTGTTTCAGTGGGCCTGTCAGTGCAGGGATGAGTTTTAAATTAAATAAATGAAACTGTGTAATGTGTATTAATGCCACAAACACTCACAGGGCTCTTGCTGAAGCCTCTTCTTTGCCTTCTAGGGGCAGCTGTACTGGTCCTCTGCTGACAGAGGGCATGTGCTGGAAGCTCTGTCGTGTGGCTTCTTTATAGGACCTGCCTGTGTGCATAAAGGCTCCACTATGCTGCAGGAGCAGGGGATGAGACTTGAGCTGTGCTAAAAATAGACATGTGCAATGATTATGCATTTCTTGGCTCTTCTGGACTGTGACTTGCTCTAGACAGAGTGATGGGAAGGGAAGAGCTGCATTTTCCTCCCCTTGGGGGGAGGAAGTCCCGTCCCCCCTCTTAGGCAGAAACATCCTAGACAGGCAAAGGAAGAGCAGAGGGAAAGCCCACATTACCCCGCTCCCCAGCCCCAGAAAGATAGCAGCTGTAAGTGAAAAAGACTTTATTCCATCTTCCACCAGTGATAAATGAGCGTTTAAACCATTCAGTTGTACACTGGCAGCTGGTGCTGCAACTCATCTACTGTGTGTGACTGTCAGAAACAGCTTCCCAGAACAGGTGCGCTTCGGAAGCAGCAACCTGAGACTATTTACCCACCAGCAAAAGCAAGACAGGGTGTGTACACAAGGAAGAACAGCTGCTTCAGAGGCAGAAGGCTGAAGCCTGGCCCCCTGGGAGAGCTAGCTGCCGGGTGGGTATGAGCAGACAGCACTAGGCTGTGCTCTGCACGCAGTGCAGCTTCTCCCAGAGTCCAGATCTACCCGACCAGCCTGGGGTGAGCGGGAAGGTGCTGTGCTGGGGGGATGGATCAGTGCTGCTCAGGCCCCACAGCCAAGTCAGTCTAGGAGGCTGTTTCAGCAGCAGTTAGAGAGCTGACCAACAGCATTACTGTGGCTCCTGATCTGGGCCATCTCCTCACGGCATGTGGCACCCAAAGATCAGAACCCCCTTTAGATTCCTGGGGGGAAAGGCAAGGCACAGCCCCTAACTTAGTAGTGAAACTCAAAAGCTTTATGTATAAATCAGTTTACAAAAAGTTTAGTCCTGCACTTTAGCATCAAGCTCACCCAGCAGCAGAAGTGGAAGGCAGCACAGGAACCCCTTCCACACCCCATTACCCAGCACAGAAGCAGAACTGCTGGCCCAGGCGCTGAACCCCCCCTGCTCTGCTGAGCACAGTGGCAGCTGAGGACAAAGATACCTGATACAAAAGTGAGGTGGCACTTTGGGGAATCTGAGCCAGCAGGGTTAGTAAAGGCACCAGGTCTAGAGCTGAAGTTACACTGATGTAGCCACAGGCAAGGTTTGGGGGTGTTTAAAATTCACCACACTGTCTTGAACACAAAAGAGGAAACAGTTATTCCTTGCTGTTATGAAGGAAAGAACCTAACTGCCCACACTCTGTTGTCACAGCTGGGGAGGGGCCAGGGTCAAGCCTTAGGGACAAAAATCCCCTTCTGAAGAGGAAGGGGTCCCCGCTGCATGGATGCAGCAGGTTTGTGCTCAGTAGTCACCCCAATGAACAAGAGGGAAGCCCCACCCCCAGTCAGAGAGGGCTTGATTTCCAGGAAGGCAGAGCCAGCAATCAGCTCTAAGTGGGGAGGGAGCCAGTCACATGTACAGCCTCCCGCCGTATTCAGTTGTTAGGAGCTCCCTGGTTCCTGGCAGAGCCCAACTCCAAAGCCCTGGTGCCCTTCACACATTAAGCAGCCACCACACCCCAACCCCCACCCCTAGTCAAGATACAGCCCCTGCCGCACAGAAGAATTGCACTTGTGTAGCTATCCCTGCTAGCCACTTTGGTGGTGGCCAGTGGCACAGGGCTCAGTACGCAGGTGGGGGCTGGTAGCCCTCCGAGGTCTCTCCAGTCTGGGTGAAGGGCGGCTGCTGGTAGTTGTCATGAGTGACATTGGGGTAAATTGAGTAGGGAGTCGAAGGGTCAGGGGTGGGATCAACGTAGCTGTTAGTAAGGTCCTCCACTCCCATTCTGTACCTCTGGAGAGCAAAGGTGATCAGGAACCCCTAGAAAGAGAGAGAGCAGCAGTCAGCAAAGCCAGGCCCCTCAGGAGGGCCACAAGGGCAGGTCCAGACACTGGGATGCAGGGGCAGCAGAAGGTCACAGTGATGCTGCCCATTCCAGACTGATGTGGCTCAGGCCCCCGATTCTCTCAAAGCCCCCACCCCAAGAGAGGTAAGCCCTGAAGAGATCTGCTGGCTGGGAAAGCGCCACTCACCCAGGAGAAGATGGAGAAGAAGCTGAAGGTAATAGCAGCTCGGGCCGAGTCAGCCCCCACATGCACATCGATCGGCAACGTCATAGCCCACTGGTTGGTCAAGAAGCAAAAGCCAATGAACCACAGGAAAGTCCAGAGTGCTGTGGGGGGGAGGGGCAGAGAGAGAGAGAGAGCAATGGGTGGATCCGGCTGCCTTGCTGGGGTGCAATCCCATCCCCTGACCCACACTGACGACTTCATGTCACCCAACTGCTGGCGGGGAGGGCTGGACCAAACAAAGCCTGTTCAGCAGACCTCTTGGCTAAGGGCCTCCGCTTTCTTAGTGCCAGGGCCACTGACTGACTGCCCTGCCTCCCAGCACTGCTGCTTGATGCCCCTGGGGGCTCGGTGCAGAGCCCCATAAGCCCTATGCTTTGGCAAGCTGCCCGGAAAGGGTCACCCAGCTGGGTGCATGTCTGCAAGTCAGGAGCAGTGCCCAAGTTCAGCAGTGCATGGTGGGCACGGTGCCAGGAGATCAAAGCACCCCCCTCTAGTCAGGCACAGGGTAGGCCACTGAAAGAAACAACCATCCAAGGAGCTGGACAAGGGCAGCCATTGTCTGATCATTAGAGAAGGCCCGAACACTGGATGGGTTTCTAACTGCTCTGCTTTAGGCATTAGTCTGGGGCAGTTCTCTGGCCTGTGTTATACCCAAGGTCAGACTAGGGGATTGTAATGGTCCCTTCTTGGGGGGCCTTAGAATCAGCCAGCAACAGCAAGGCCCACCCCCATGGCTGCTGTTACCTGAAAAGCCCAAGTCTGCCATGACCAAGTACTTGCGATCAGTGGCGTTGCTGATCTGGGGAAAGTAGATATCGATGGTGAAGAAGGCGACACAGGCCAGGAAGCCGAGGACACCAATGCCGATGCCGTAGCGGCAGGCATCCTCATTCCGGTGGAAGATGCAGTGGAGCTGATCAGTGTCATGCGTGTTGGTGTACCCCTCACCGATGATGCAGGAGAACACGATGAGGGAGAACACCTGGGGAGGGAGCACTGGCATCAGCTTGAGCAGTGTTCAGGAACCACAGGGCAGGTGGGAAGCCGAGGCGAGGGGGGACCCTGAACCACCAGCTGCACCCTTCCAAAGCAGGAGAGAGTTCATTCAATGCAGCTATAGCCTTTTTACCACAATGGCTATCCATCCACCTACCCCCCTCTTGGAGGAGGGGATGCACACAGAGAGCAGGCATCCCCCGTGTGCTGGAATGGGGCAGCACAAACATGCAGGGGTTGGTACATGCTCCTTACCTGAGGGAACCGTAACTAGGGATGGGGCGGTTCCAGGCCTCACCTCACGATTTACCTGTCGACATGGAAGTGATTGGAGCAGGGTACCGAACCCCTCAGTAAGGGGGTTGGGCTGCGAGATGCCTGGGCTGGCTTGTGCCCCTCTGCAGCCCGAACAAATAGGGCAAAATCCTCGGAGTGTGCAGGAACTGCCTCACCACAGGGGGGTCATATAACAGTTGAATTGGGGGGAGCGCTCCCCCCACTCTCTGGGGGACCCATCCGCAGAACTGGGGGGGAGCAGAGCACTCAGCAAACACCTCGCTCCATCACATGCTGGTCAGCAGCGACTGCAGCTGCCGAGGGCCCCCCGAGGCTGGCGAGCCAAAGCGATCAGCTGACCCTCCCCGCAAACCGACAGTCACGGCGCCCCCGCGGGGCCCTCCTCCCGGGCCGGCCCATGCACCGCAGCGGTGCCGCCCGGAGAGGGCGGGCGTGGGCGGCTCCTCCGCAGCCTGGGCCACGCACCGGGAGGCCCCGAGGCGCCGCCCGCCCAGCAGGGGCCGGGCCCCAGGTCTCGCCCCGAGCAGGGCGGCGGCCCCGGCCCCCTTCCCCCGGCGCGGCCCGACACGCAGCACCGGGAGGTCCCGCGACTTTCCGCGCCCGGCCTCTCCCAACGGGGCCCGGCGGGCAGCTGGGGGACACGGGCGGGCCCCTTCCCCCGGCCCGGCCCAGCCCCTGGCCCCCTTCCCCTGTCCGGCCCCCTGCCCAGCCCCTTCCCCCGGCCCAGCCCGGCCCCCCGCCCCGGGCCCCCTTCCCCTGTCCGGCCCCCCGCCCCGGGCCCCCTTCCCCTGTCCGGCCCCCTTCCGACCCCAGGCCCAGCCCCTTCCCCCGTCCAACCCCCGGCCCAGCCCGGCCCCCTGCCCCGGGCCCCCTTCCCCTGTCCGGCCCCCCGCCCCGGGCCCCCTTCCCCCGTCCAACCCCCGGCCCAGCCCGGCCCCCTGCCCCGGGACCCCTTCCCCTGTCCGGCCCCCCGGCCCAGCCCCTTCCCCTGTCCGGCCCCCTTCCGACCCCAGGCCCAGCCCCTTCCCCCGTCCAACCCGCGGCCCAGCCCGGCCCCCGGCCCCTTCCCCCGTCCGGCCCCCGGCCCGGCCCGCTCCGCACGCGGCAGGCTCGGGGGGCCCGGCGCCGCTCACCGCGCTCAGCAGCCGGACCAGGACCTGCGGCCGCTGCAGGAAGCGGAGCAGGTCGAAGGTGCCGCCGGCCTTGGCCGCTCCGTAGGCGCCGCCGCTCTCCATGCTGCCGCCGCCGGCCTGGCCTCGCCCCGCCCGGCTTGAGCCGCCGCGTCCGCGTCCCCGGCCCCGCCCCGAGGAGGGGCCCGGCCCGGCTGCGGCCCTGGCCCTGGGCGGGGCGCGGCCCGGCTCCTCTCCCGTGGCCGGCAGGTGCCGCGGGGGAAAGGACCGGGGCCGGGGCCGGGGCGCCAAGCGCCTCCCATCCGGCCTCAGGGCTCCGGCAGGGCCGCGCCCGGAGCCCGGCGCGGGCGGAGCAGAGCGGCCGCGGGGGAAAGGGCCGCCCGGGGGGCTGGGGACGGGGCTCCGGGGGCAGTTTCAGTCCCTGCTGCAGCCGGCCCCGGCCCCGGCCGGCCCCGGCCAGCTGATGTTCCCCTCCCGCAGGACGCGTGGCCGGCCTGCGCCTTGGCCGGAGCCCTCGGCAGGCCCCTGCGCGGAGACCCTCATCCCACACATCCGTGAACAGGACGAGCCGGGGCAGAGTCGACCCGGCTCTTGGACAGGGGCATCGTGCCTCACCCAGCTGCGAGGCTTCTTGGGTGGGGTGGGGTCCACAAATGTGGACAAGGGTGATCCGCCCCATGGCTCTAGTGTACGTGGACACTAGCCTGTGGCAAGGTCTCTCCCTGAAGGCGCTTCAGCAAAGGAAGCAGCCAGGCGATAGAAGGGAAGGGACTCTCCGTAACCGGTTAAAAGCTAGAAAACAAAGGATAGGAATAAATGGGCAGTTTTTACAGGGGAGAGAGGTGAATAGCGGGGTCTCCCAAGGATCTGTATTGGGACCAGTGTTGTTAATTTATTCATAAATAATCTAGAAAATGGGTAAACAGTGAGGTGGCAGAGTTTGGCGATGATACAAAATTGCACAAGACAGTTCAGACCAAAGCTGACTGGGAAGATGACCAAGGGCTCTCACATAAGCGGGTGCCTGGGTAACAACATGGCAGATTAAATTCAATGTTGATAAATGCAAAGTAATGAGCATTGGAAAACATCATCCCCACTGTGCAGACAAAATGCTGGGGTCTATATTAGCTGTTACCCCGTAAGAAAGCGATCTTGGAGTCATCGTGGGTATTCTCTGCAAACAGCCGCTCAATGGGCAGCGGCTGTCAGAAAAGCGAACAGCGTTAGGAACCCTTAGGAGAGGGATAGCGAATATAACTGAAAACATCCTAATCCCACGCTATAAATCCCTGGTACACTCACATCTTGCATACTGTGCACAGCTCCGGTCACTCCAGCTCAGAACAGATACATTCAAATTGGAAAAGGGGATGGAGCAGCTTCCATGTGAGGCAGGAGTTAAAGGACGGGGACAGTTCAGTTTAGAAAAGACGACGGGGGGGAGATGATCGAGTCTGTACAGTCGTGACTGGTGGGGAGAAAGTGAGTAAAGAGGTGTTATTTATCCCTGCACAGAATACAAGAGCCAGGTGTCACCCACTACAGTGAATAGGCAGCAGGTTTTATACAAAAAAGAAGGAAGTACTCCATACACAGCACGGGCAACCTGGGGAACCTGTTGCCAGAGGATGCTGTGAAGGCCAAAAGTGTAACTGGGTTAAAGAAATAATTAGTTAAATTCCTGGGAGCTAGGTCCGTCAATGGCTATTAGCCAAGATGGTTGGGAATGCAACCCCTGCTTTGGGTGTCCCTAAACTTCTGCCTGCCAGAAGCTTGGACTGGACAACAGGCGATGGACCACTGGACAATTGCCGTTCTGTTCACTCCCTCTGAAAAACATTAGTATGTTCTTATCTTATCCCTGTGTGACAAAGTGGGACTGTTCTTAATGTTTCCTCTGAATAGTGTGGGGGTGCCTCAGTTTCCCCTAGGCAGTTCTTAAGTATCTAGGGGGTGGGGTAAGGGTGTATGATCATTGCAGAGCCCTGGAGGGCATGTGTGTGCAGGAGTCTGGACACAGAGAATGGCCGACACCCTGTTTCCTGGCAACTGATGGCCTGGGCCCTTCCCCCCTGCAAGGTGAGAGCTAAAGGGTTGGAGAACAAAGGGATCAGGTGACCTCCTGGCCCGGGAAAGGGACAAAGCCCAGAGGAGGGAGTTTCAGTTTGGGGCTGGCTGGGGACATGGAGTGAAGGGCAGATGGGGTTGTCTGGCTCACTGCCCCCCAAAATGGACCCAGCTGAGGGGTCCTGTTCTCTGTACCTACAAGCTCTGTGTTAGACCATGTTCCTGTCGTCTAATAAATCTCTGTCTTACTGGCTGGCTGAGAGTCACGTCTGACTGCGGAGTTGGGGGGCAGGACCCTCTGGCTTCCCCAGGACCCCGCCTGGGCGGACTCGCTGTGGGAAGCACACGGAGGGGCAGAGGATGCTGAATGCTCCGAGGTCAGACCCAGGAAGGTGGAGCCAGGTGAGCTGTGTGTCCTGCAGACAGGCTGCTCCCAGAAAGGAGACTTCCCCAGAGTCCTGCCTGGCTTCACGAGGAGCAGTTCCAGAGCATCGCCCGGGGACTCCGTGACACCCTGCTCAGAACAATCCATCCAGGCAGCTGTCCCAGGGAAGGAGACGTGAGTTTCTGGCATTCCACTCCCTCTGTCCGTGTTCTCTCCACAGCCTTTGTCTGTGTGCTGGCTGTCTCATTAGTGCCCTGTGCTGTCTCTGCTGGGAGAGGAAGGTAGATTCTATCTCCTGACACTCGGACCTCCAGGGAGCCAAGGGAATATAGCCCAGGTGATAATATGGATTCAAATTGGCCCTAAACTCATGGACTGGTTGGCCCCACTTCAGAGCCTTTGACCTCTCAGCTGCCAGCTCCCATCCAGCCCAGGTCTGGGAGTCAAGTCTGAGCCTTTCCTCTCTAGTTCTCATCTGGACTAGGCCAGCAGCGACCAGAAGTTGCTCCCCATCTGGCAGCTGATCATTGTCCTATCAGGAAGGGGCGGGGGGCTCTGTCTTGTTCCTACACGCCTCATCTCAAGCCCATCACACCTGGCCCCTTTGTTGGCAGCCTCAGCAGCAGGCCGGACTGGATGGCTGCAGAAGTGGAACTGTCATAGAATCATAGAATAACAGAGTTGGAAGGGGCCTCTGGAGGCCATCTAGTCCAACCCCCTGCCCAGAGCAGGACCAATCCCAACTAAATCATCCCAGCCAGGGCTTTGTCAAGCCTGACCTTAAAAACTTCTAAGGAAGGAGATTCTACCACCTCCCTAGGTAACGCATTCCAGTGTTTCACCACCTCTCAGCCCTCTCAGCTGTCCTCTCAGCCCTCAGCTGCTCCTGCCATGGCAGGGATGGGGGCAGGGCACCGTGCAGGGAAGCCGTCCTGCTGCCCAGGCCATCCCCATTCTGGGGGTAAAGAGAGGCCTCCGTCTCCAGGGCTGACAGCATGGGCCGAGTAGGAACATCTACAGCACCCCGCACTCCCACTGCTGCCCCTGCCAGGGCCCGCCAAGCCTGGCTAGGTGAGGGGCTCTCTGTTTGACAGAGATCCCTGCCCGCTGGAATAAGAGAATCTCTGCACCAGCACAGTGATTGCATCAGGCCCTTTATGACACCGATGCATGGCTAACATGCCTGGGTTTGTGTCGCCAGTGACACACTGCGGCAGAGAACTGCTGCCTGATGCTCTTAATTGTTAAATTCCTAAGAAGTCCCATCCAGGTGAGCCGCTCCTAGGTCACATGCCCTCCTCAGACCGGCCAGAAGGGGATGCGATGGGACCCGGCGTCCTTTCATTTCTGATTTTGGTGGCATTCCTTCCTAGCCACCCCTGTCCAGCTCCGTCGACCATCAGCCACCAAACACAGGGGCTCCTGCTCTGGAGCTAAAGGAGTGCTTTCCCTTTGCCAGTCGGGAGGAATTAACAGACTGACACCCTCCCCTCACTCCAGCCCACTACGGATTGGTGAGATCAGGAGCTGCTGTGACATCCCAGCCAGTCGAGAACAGAGGCAAACAGCTCATAGAATCATAGGATTGGAAGGGACCTCGAGAGGTCATCTAGTCCTGTCCCCTGCACTCACGGCAGGGCTAAGTATTATCTAGATGCATCGCTCTACATTCACTCTCCTCCCCCCTCACACGCACACACCCCGGTATGCTCACAGACTTGCCTGCACACGCTCTCGCTCACACACGCCTGCATGTGCACCGATACAGTCCCCCGTGTGCACATACGTACGGGGACAGGATTCGGCCCATTGGGCTGGAGGGTCACTTCCTCTGTCGCCATTGGCCGGTGTCATTTGGAATTAGGGAGAGGAGCTAATGGCAGCAGAGGAGTCTGATAGGGTTGGCAGGCCGGAGTTCTCTGCTTTCCATGTGACACCAGCCAAAGCCCGGTCCCTGTCACCTCATCCCCCGTGTGAGCCCTCGGGCAGTTCCTCGCATTCCCTGGGGTGGGAAGGGCTCTGGCTTGGCCCCCCCAAGGAGGAGGTTTCAGCAGCAGACAGGACAATGACCTGGCTCAGCCTCACGCCCCTCCACGCGAGGTCACGAAGCTCCTGCAGCAGCTTGGCCAGCTCCCACACTAGACACCATTTCTCCTTGACTTGCTAGACGGAGCAGAGAGCAGACAGTGGCCAAGTTAACTTAACACTGACAACCAGGGGGCCCCATGGCCTCCCCCCAGCGCCTACTGCCCCAAGCCTCACTCACCAGTACCTGCTGCTGCTTGAGCCACTCCATGGCCCGTCTGTTTGCTCGAGTCTGGGAAATGTACAGGGCGGATGAGGCTGCAGGAGAGACAGAGACAGTCACACCAGCCCCACAGACCACACGGGTAGGAGGGCTGGGCGCAGGGCACACTTGAGAGTCAATAGCATTTTCCTTTCCGGCCAACTGAAAGCACACCAGCTTCCAGAGCTGAGGGACAACAGGAGCTTACACATCCCCAGAGGGGTCACCAGCCCAGGCAGGGCGAGAGCCTGGTCTGCTGGTCCCTGAGTGACTGCTGCACGGGCCAAGCACCACCGGATGTCCTGCCCACGGAGGCCATGGCTGACAGAGCCTAGCGCGTGCCTTGATTGGCCCAGGCATGCTATTTAAGGCCTAGAGGAAACACCTGAAGGCTGTCTGTGCAACTAGGTGGATCACCGCTTGCTGCTGCTAACAGACCCTGCTGCACACTCCCGAAACCTGGCCTTTCTTCTGTTGCTGGTTC